GTGGAAACTTGATTTGTTAAATTACAGTTTCCGATGATGCTCACACCAACCTAGCATTCAACAACAGCAGCCACAGATTGGCTGATATGACAATCACGATTCCCAAGTTGGGGGAGGGGCTGGCACATGGCACAGTCACTAACTGCCTGTGCTGTGTGCCTCTTAATATTAAAACTATTATTTAACAAACCAGAATGTTTCCTCTGATGTCAGGCATGCAAGAGGAGGAAGGAAGCGAGCCCTCACACTTACTGTCTGTTTATATGCATTTGGATACACTAATTTATTATAAAATGTTCATTTTCTGAGCAATTTCATTTATTTAAATTATCCAATATTTTTTCCAATGGTTTGACCTCGACCCCAAAGGCACACTCCTCCATTGTCTCCTGAGACAGATGGATGCCAACAACTCAACCAAATTAAAGGTGAATGCCCTTACTTTAAAGGCCTAGTAATATTCTGAGTCATACTTGTTTGTCACACAATTAGGCAAGCCAAGTCACATTAAAACACTTGCTACTGGCAAATCCTGAAACAGCTTTTTCAAAGCTATGTTAAATAAATGATGCCTAACAAACACATTCGAACAAACAGACAAAGATCCACAGCTGTTTTTAGAGATTGTGAGGGAGAGAACACGTTTTATTCCTGTAACCAGAGTGCTACTCCCTTTCAGCCACAAAAGGCAGGAATATTATGTGCCAAGTACAGGTTGTATTGAGGAATCTTTAAGAAATGTCAAAACACTCTCCAGTAGGTTACACATTAGTTTTTCCCTCTGGTCATTAGCTTCAAGACTTTAATCATTTGTATAGGAATAATTCATTTTTATGGCCGTAGATGGTTGCTGTCATTGCGAGAGAACTTGACTGCAATTTTTTCCCACTCCAATAAATTTCTATTGGGCTCTCATCCAGTCAGTGTAATATATCTAGATACATTTGTCCAAAAAGCTCAGTATTGCAATAGCCACCAAGATGGAGCTTATCACACATACATCACTGCCTTGCCTGTAGGTGGCTGCCCACCTCAAGAGTTCTAGAAACTGAAACAGACTGAGAAATCATTTTCACCCCTTCAGCATTCATAGAGTCCTTTGTTCTATAGTAATCTATTTCTATGGGCCTTCTTCACACCTACCTTTATACTATCAGACACATTCACAGCTCTGACAGTCTTCCTGGCCTGCTGCTAAGACTGAGTCACCCACTCTCCTAAACTCCGGAATGATTTCCCTTATTATACTACCTTCGTTATTATTCCTGACCCAATAGACAAAGGCCTCGGGTCTTACATATTACAGCATTCTGCAGGTGATGCCAACCATTATTGACATTTCTCTCTCAAATACATTTCTTGCTGTGTCAACAGTAATATAGATATAGCGTGGTCAAATGACTCAATAAATTACGCATTCCTACCCACCAAAGATAGCCACAGACAAACACTGGCACACTGCCATCTCATCAGATGGGGGGGGGGGGGAGTTTTTCTCATGATGCTTGCCTGGTGACAAATGCACCTTCCTCTTGACATGAATATGCCCACTGCTCAATTATCTAAAGATCAACCACAACAGTCCATCTGACAAGAAGAAAGAAGTGATGAGAGTGTATTTGCAGGTGTTTATGTTGTAGAGCTCTGAAATACAGCTTTACCACTTCAGACTGCATGTGAAAAAAATACTTGTTTAGAGCCTCAAACTAAAATCTCCCTTTGTGTGGAAAGGTGTACATACCAATATCACATAGACAGAAATGTTGACTGGGAAATAATTCCAAATAAGCAAGTCTCCACATAAATTCTGAGGTGGTAGTGCCATGTGAAAGGAATGAATACAGTGGTACCTCGGGTTGCAGACGCTTCGGGTTACATACGCTTCAGGTTACAGACTCTGCTAACCCAGAAATAGTACCTCGGGTTAAGAACTTTGATTCAGGATGAGAACAGAAATCGTGCTGTGGTGGCGCCGGCGGCAGCAGGAGGCCCCATTAGCTAAAGTGGTACTTCAGGTTAAGAACAGTTTCAGGTTAAGAACGGACCTCCAGAACGAATTAAGTTCTAAACCCGAGGTACCACTGTATGTGAGATAAAATTTTGTGAATTGAATATTTAGCTATAACAATTGCATGAGTTTGGGGTCAATTCAGTTTCGCTAAAGTATTCCATTAAAGAATAATTTGCATAATACGTTATTTCAGCCTTGGGAAACTGGCAACCACAGCAACCACAGTTTAGGGTGACACCAAGCATGGTAGATTAATAGCCTACTTCTCTATAATGAGTCCCCTTATGGCACTCTTCAGTCAAGTTCTAATAGTGGAACTGGGCTCAGAGAAAAGAGCTGAGGAGGAGTGACTATAGCAGGCTTCCTCAAACTCGGCCCTCCAGATGTTTTTGGCATACAACTCCCATGATAGCAGGGCCAGTGGTCAGGAATGATGGGAATTATAGTCTCAAAACATCTGGAGGGCTGAGTTTGAGGAAGCCTGGACTATAGGCTCTCTTCACTATGTGGCCCTTTTGCTTTTAAAACAGACCCCCTCCCTCTTTATACGTAATTGAGGCACAATGGCATTTTAAGACACCAGTCTGTCTGAAATGGGACAGCTTACTTTGGTCACTTACTTTTTTTTTGGAGAGGGCATGACAAACTAAACATTACATGCAAGCTTTGCAAATGCAGGTTTATAAACCTCAATAATCCACTTTGTTATGAAAAGGCAGCTTTTGGAGAAACCCATTAGAGTGGAGAAGCAGCAAAGTAGGTGCTTTAACCATTTCTCTGCTCAGAATTGCTCCCCTGGCCTTGAAATCGTGTTTCTCCCCCTAGGGCAGAACTTTCCAAACTATGTGCTGCAATACTTTAGTGTGTCAGCTGCAGCGTGAATGCTCCCCACGCTCCTCCTGGGGCTGGGAAAGGTTTAGTTTAACCTCCAGTTTACTAGTAAAACTGAGTTGCTGTGTCACAAAATGATGCAAAGCTGAATTACTGTGTTGCGAAATGATGCATGTCCAAAAAGTGTGTAACCAACTTGAAAAGTTTGGAAACCTCTAGAAACCTACCAGTATGTGGCAGAAGTAGCTTAGCGGGGAATGAAAAGGTGCAAAATGCTAGCTGACAAAGCATTAAACATTTCTCCCACAGTAGCTTCTCCATTGCAAATCACACTTCCCAAAGCTGGTTTCCATTTAAAAAGTGTGTGTGTGTGTGTGTGTGTGTGTGTGTGTGTGTAACACAATTTTTCTGCATGAAAGAATGTGGAGATAAATGGTGGGGATAGGAAAAAAGCAGTATAGTATCTGAGTATAGTATTCTAGGTAACAACTTGTTATATGGCCAAACACAACTTGAGAAAACAAAACATAGGTTTTCCATTTAAAGCATCTTTAATGGAGTTGAGCCCAGAATCTATCAGAGTATTTGACCAAGTAGGCTAATGAGCCTATAAAAGAGCTATAATTTAAATGGTTCTGTCCATAAGATAGTAAAGAAATAGCCTAAGGCATCTGATGCTTGAAGGGATAAATAACAGTTTTCCCCTTCAAAATCACTAAGCCAAAACAGAGAGGAACAATTTCTCTGCATGAGATCATTCTAAAGAACAAAGCTAGGTGCTCCAGCTTTCCCAAAATATAATTCTTCAATGCAGCATATGTAATCATGCAAGTTTCAGGAGCCCTAGTTTAAATAAAAGGTTCTATTGTAAAATCTTGGCAGTGTAGACTTTAATAGTGGCTTACAAGTCATTATACATCATTATTTCAGGAAGCCAATTCTGTTCAATAACAAGAATCCACAATTCTCTCTCTCCTTTTCTCTCTCAGAGTTAGCAGTAAAGAAAAACAAGTTCTCCAACCAATTCTATAATGCTCTACGTTTTATGGTGCACTCACCACAAACATATGGTAGAGATATCCAAAAACATACATACCATTCAATCTTCTCTGTACCCAAGTTAATCTACCAGTTTTAAGTGCTGGTTAGCTCTAAGAAGCCAAATGTGACAACCTGCTAGCAAGTCTAGTTCTTGGTTTGTTTGTTTTTCCTTTGTAGGGAAAGAGCATCATCACAACATAAATTTCTGCAAACCACTGTGGCTTCAGGTGCATTTCTAGCCCTGAGAAACTACCATAAGCAAGAGAAAGTGTTTATTCTGCTCTGGGACTGGGAGAACAAAAAATTGCGGCAGGTGGGGGAAGAAAGGGTAGAATTCAACGTCACACTGATCATTATGTCAGCACAAGTATTTCTGCTTGTCAGATGGAACAATATCTCCTCTCCTGCCCCTGCAAGCTGTACTGGAGGTTCTCCTGATCTTGAGCAGATTTGTGGGACATTGTGGGGGTCCGCAGGGGGCAGGGAGATTTTTTTGGGAGGGAGTCCTGTTGCACTAGTGGAAGTCCTTGCACAGGCTTCTACTAGTGTACTTGGTTAGCTAAATCCAGCCCAAAACAGTGGTGGCAGAGGGATTGCATTTAGCCTCTTATGATGAAAGTCACATTAAACAATGTTACAGTAACTAGTCATTATGGACCGTAACCCTCTATTTCCCATGTCTTTCAGTAACTAAACCTAAGTACATGGAACTGAAATAATTCCACACACTTCTTCTCATTAACTCTGCCTTTCCTACCCTCCTCTGTTGTCTTCTGTATGTAGAATTTCAGACTGTAACGTTCTGTTCTTTTATACCATAAAAAGTAGGAACTATTCCTCCCTTGCAAGCATAGGCAGTTTTCTAATTCTTAAGAAACAATACACAAAGATGATTTAAATTAGACTAGACTCTGTATTAGCTATGCAATCAGAATTGACTCCTCAAATGTTGAGCAGCTCCAATCCTCCATTAATCAATAACTTTGACTAGAACTATTTGCATTTGCTGGGAAACATCTTTGGGTATAAGAAGTCAAGAATGAATATGAGGTTTGAAGCACTAGCTGATTCCTATGGAATGGCCCGTTATGTTTCAAGAGAAAAATCAGTAACTCACCCTGAATGCAGTTCCTTCCTCTATAATGGTGGGCAACTGAGAAAGGCAGATATCCACAGCGAGGTCCCAAGCTTGCCTATGGAAAGATAATATGACAACATTAGAAGTCTGACGTAAATGATTGTATGAAAACGTGTGTGGAACCAGAGTAGCAAATTGTATTTGAAGGCGGCGGCCTTCAATAAACCTTAGTTTGGTATTTACTTACTTGCTTCCAAGGTATTTGTACCCTGCAGTTCTACCCTAAAGGGCTTTCTAGATCAGCAAACAATTTAAAACTAAATAATTTGAAAACTGAATTAGAACATTAACATTATTGAAAATCCTATGTCAGTAAGGTATCACCCATGAATCACCCATCTCAAACAGGTAATGTAAATATAACAAGACTGGAGTCAGATGATTCTCTCTGGGGAAGAAAATCTAAAGATGGGGTGTCTCTATTGAAAATGCCCTTTACCACCTGTGTAACCTTAGAAAGTAGTGGGGGGGGGAGAGAGAGAGCCTGCAAATATGATCTTAGGAGATGAGTAGGTTTGTGTGGCAGTAAATGGTCTTTTCAGGAAGTTCCAACAAAACTAATGGAGGCTGATTCTCTTCCCATATGTACCAACCCTGCAATTATCATTTCAGGTCTTTCTTTGCATGCCTCCTCCACAAGAGCTCCAGCGAGTGGCAACACAGAAGCGTGATTTTTCTACCGTGGCTCCTCACTTGTGGAATGCTCTCCCCAGAAAGCCTCACCCGGCACATTCAATAATATCATTAGGTGCCAGGCAAAAACATTTGTCTTCTCCCAGGCCTTGGCTAATTAAAGAATCTATGTCATTTTAAACTGTATGTGGGTGTATTGCTTTTATTTGCTACTACAGTGGTACCTTGGGTTACAGACGCTTCAGGTTGCAGACGCTTCAGGTTACAGACTCCGCTAACCCAGAAATAGTACCTTGGGTTAAGAACTTTGCTTCAGGATGAGAACAGAAATCGTGCAGCAGCGGCACAGCAGCAGTGGCAGGCACCATTAGCTAAAGTGGTACCTCAGGTTAAGAACAGTTTGAGGTTAAAAACGGACCTCCAGAACAAATTAAGTTGTTTACCCGAGGTACCACTGTATGTCATATATTTTGTGTTTCTATATTGTAAACCACCCTGTGATCCTCGGATAAAGGGCAGTTTAGAAAGGGCAGTATGGACCTCTACACTAATCGAAAGCCCCTCACAGCTCCAGAAATAAATTTTATATTGGGAGATATACCCTGTGGCTGGTTAGAGATACACCAGATTATACATGTTCTGAATCACCCAAATATAAGGACTCAAGCATTATGCAGTTTAAACAGTTTTGAGCAACTGCTTCTCAACCCACCCATCGGGAAAGGGAATCAATCATCTCCCAACTATATAAAATCCTCACACAATTGGCTCCCCTTCCCCTCACTTCATTAAGACTAAATGGGGAAAAGATTGTGGAGAAGAATTAAAGGAACAACTCAGGGAACACATTTGGAACAAACTATGATTTGAATCCATCTCAATTAGAACTTGAGGAAAAGCTATAAATGCTGGTACATGTGCCCAGCCATATTATATAGAATTAATCATAATACATCCAACCTTTGCTGGTAGGGATGCAATTTACCTGGCTCTCTAGTATACATGTGGTGGTTTTGCTCCAAAGTTATTCCCTTTAGGGAAAAAATTTTCAAACAATCAAACAATACAGCCAGACCCAAAATTAGCCCTACTGTCTTATTTTACTCCTCACATTTAAAAAAAATAACCAATAAAGATCTCATCCTCCATTTATTAACTGCAGTTAGATTAGCGATTGGGGGGAAAACCCTGGAAAACTTTAAATGCAAATCTTTTTGAAGCCTGGATTTCGCAAGTATGGGACATTGTGCTTAAGGACAAATTAACCACTTCACAAAATAATTATCGATCGGAGAGGCGAAAGGCTCACAACTTCTTCATGACATGGTATCCTTTTATTGACTTTGTTAAGACAATCAAACATGGTTTTCACCCTCCATTGACTCGTGGAACCTTATGGAGAGACACTTTCATCTTATTGCCTTTCTTGGCATGTTTAAAATTACAACCATCAGCTGCTATTTTTCTTTCTTTTCTGTACAACTACTAAGCTCTGTTTTCCTTGTATGGGTATGTTTTGATACTTGATACTAAGAATCAATTAAAAAACAAAAATAAGAATCAGTAGACCTAAAAATGGACCTTTTGAAAGCTCTACTCAGATGCATGGGGGATATTCAATTAATTTCTTTGTGCTAGTGCAACAGGATTCTCCTCTCTCCTCCCCCCCTCTTCACTGTCCCCAGAGGGTTGGAGAAACCCCTGGAATCCAGAGTGGCTGGGGCAACCCAGTCAGATGGGCAAGGTACAAATAATAAAGTTGTTGTTGTTGTTGTTATATTTAAGGGGCATGTGGGGGGTGAGAGAAGGTGAGAGAGCGGTAACAGAGAGCAGTTGCTGAACAGCTTGGCAGGTTTCTGGAGGAAACATCGACTTTAGATCCATTTCAGTCCAGTTTCCGTCCTGGTTTTGGGACCGAGACAGCTCTGGTCGCCCTAACAGATGATCTCCGTAGACAACTGGATCGAGGCGGGTCGGGACTGCTGGTTCTCTTAGATTTGTCAGGAGCCTTTGATATGGTCAATCATGATCTTCTGGACCACCACCTCACCACTGTGGGGATACAGGGCATAGCCCGTAAATGGCTGTGCTCTTTTATCTCTGGTCGGGGACAGAGGGTAGCGCTAGGGAGGGAGATGTCGCTGCGCCACTCCTTGGTGTGTGGAGTGCCGAAGGGTGCAATCCTCTCCCCGATGCTTTTTAACATCTTTATGTGCCCCCTTGCCCAGAATGTTCAGAGCTTTGGGCTGGGTTGTAACCAATATGCTGATGACACTCAGCTCTATCTGCTGATGGATGGCCACACTGACTCAGCACCGGACACACTGACCAGATGCTTGGAGGCTGTGGCTGGATGGTTTCGTGGGAGCCGATTGAAACTAAATCCTTCGAAGACAGAGGTCCTCTGGCTAGGTCGGAATGGCATGGGGATGAGGGACCAACTCCCTTCTCTTGCGGGGGCCCAATTAGTGCCAGTGCCTTCCATTAAGAGTTTGGGTGTAATCCTTCTCAAATATTGTTTTTAATTGGAAATATTCTAACCAATTCACCCCCCTCTCTTTTAATTCTTCAAACTTCTTCACTGTCGGGCAATCATTTATCTCTTCTATGAGTTCCCTATATCTGTTAGCCAACTGTCTTTCATATTATTTCTATGCATGGCTGATGACTCTATAGGCGATAGCCACCAGGGAGTTTTGGCTGTTACTTTTGTTTTGTTTCTTTCCCAAACTTTGAATAGGGCCTTTCTCGCCAAATGATTAGTGCAGCCTCTGTGCTTTTATTTTATCATGACCCAGGTAACCATGCCACCCAAAAACTTTGTCCCAGTCCTCCAGGTCTAGGATTTCCGTATCTGTCAATAACTTCCAATCTTTCAGCCATGTCATGCATGCGGCCTCAAAATACAGCTTGAGGTCTGGGACCGCAAACCCGCCCCTTCCTCTGGGCTCCATCAATACTTTAATACTTACTCTTGGCTTCTTACCCTGCCAAATAAATTTAGAAAGATCGGGCCAGGGCCTTTTCAGTGACGGCTCCGACCTGGTGGAATGCTCTGTCCCATGAGACTAGGGACCTACAGGGTTTAACCTCCTTTCGCCGGGCTTGTAAGACAGAGCTATTCCACCTGGCCTTTAATTTGAATTCAGCCTGATCTTTTATTTCCCTTCTCTTCCCTCTCACTTCCCTTTTATGAAGATTACCTGCTCTGGGACCCCGCAGCTAATTCTCCCCTGGCCTCCTCACTGGCCCAAGTAGGACTAATTCAGCCAGCTAGCCCTGGTGACTATCTAATGACTATTGGATGGATTTCCCCCAAATTTATTTTTGAACTTTGATTTTTATTGTTATTCATGTTTTTATACTGTATTTTATGCTGCTTCTTTGTTGTATTACAATTAAGTGTTTTACATTTGTTGTTAGCTGCCCTGAGCCCGGTTTTCTGAACCAGGAAGGGTGGGGTATAAATAAAAATTTATTATTTATTATTATATCCTTGTGCTGGTGAAATGTTCAGGGTAGTTGAATGCAACCCTTCATATTTCTTATGTAAGGCTTCTTAAAAGACACCCATTCAAATATAGTCCAAAGCTGCAACCCTAACTTCACTTACCTGGGGGTAAGCCCAAATGAATTACGGTAAACAGGACTTGCTTGAGTAGGAATGGCTAGGACTAACAGAGTGAGCCTTAAATGTAGTTCACAAGTTTCTTACAAAAATAAAATGAAAAGGCTGAAAGTCTTTCTGGAGAGAAGTGAACAGAATTCCTTCAGCACTTTGAAAGAAGGACCATAGTTAAGCAGCCTGCTCTGCATACAGAAGGTCCCACGTTCAATTTCCGACACCTCCAGGTAGGGCTGGGAATGCTCTGTGTCTGAAATCCTGGTGAATGACTGCCTGTCAGCATAGACAATACTGAGCTGGATGGGTCCATGGACTGACTCAGTAAAAGGCACCTTCCTATGTTGACGCACATGCAATGACTGCATAGGGTGAAGGGAAAGGGAAAGCAGTGCAAAATCATGGCACAGCATTAACAGGTCTGAACATGTTCTGTGTCACTGGAGACAGTCTGACTCGGAGTGTCTTGACATTGTCTCTGAGACATGGAGCATGCAGGAAGCTAGTAATACCTACCCTCTGTCAAGCAGTGCTTCACCTCTCTCTTCAATCTGTGCATTCTGTATTCAGCTGCCCCTGTGCTGAAACTGCTGTATTTTAATTCAGATGCCTTTCAAATACCTTCTCAAGTGTTGGCCACAAAGAGATAAAAATTGGTAATCTCCAACAAGCAGGCAAACTACAATAGTTTAGAAAGCATTGCATGAATAGTCTGATGCACAGTTAATCTCTTGAGGGAGAAAACGTTTATCCCACACTTGTTAAAAGCCTACTAGCTTGACCAATTTGCACAATATTTT